ATGTAGTCCTTATCAAGATAACTGAGAATTTCTGCTTTCGCAGAGGAAACCTGTACGTGAAGAACACCATATTCTAGAAGGACCAGCACATGCACCGCTGCTTCTCACTCTGCCTGTGACAGGCACCGGGACAGGTGGTTACAGCGTCCCTTTCCGTGGAGCCCAGGTGTGGTCTCAGAACTCTTCTCAGCAAAGTGCTCCAGGCACGACCCCAACCGGCCCTAAGCCATTCCTGGTCTGAAGATACTCATTTTCAAAGTAGAAAGGAACGTTCAAAACCGAGTAATGGGAGCCTAAGTAATATGTCTGGAATTTCACTAACAAAGATGGTACTTACAAAATGAAAAATTTCCCACCGACCAAATTGGAACTATTCTCTACGTCTTCCTACTTTTTAACATCACTATCCATCTCTTCATACCTGCATGAAAAATGAAAATAGAGTAATAGTCTAAATGCATAAAGCAAGAAATAATCAGCTTGCCTGTTTTCAATTATGTGAATTGTTTTAACGTGTATTATATTAAAGTATAACCACCCCAAACCTTTTCAAACGAATTACATGTAAAGAACCCCAACTGAGAATGGTTCAGGCACACACTCTCCCACTGGGCCTTCTCTTCCACTGGGGATTCTCACAATTACCTTTATTGCCTTTGGAAGAAAAGTACTAAGCGGCTTTTTGGTGCCTCCTTTTATTCTTGCTCATCCTTCATGAAGAACTCATGTGATAAAACTTAACTGAAGTGGCAAGCCTGAACTGCTAGGTGAGGACAGATTATATAAAGATGAACGCAGAGCCCTGGCCGCTTTGGCTCAGCGGTTAGAGCATTGGCCTGCGGTCCTGAGAGACCCGGGTTCAGTTCCCGCTAAGGGCACGTACCTCGGTTGCAGTTTGTCCCCGGCCCTGGTCGGTTGTGCGGGTGGCAACCACTCAATGTGTCCCTTCACATCGATGTTTCTCTCTCTCTCTCTGTTCCTCTCTCTCCCTCCCACTCTACCAGAACAAAAAATGGAAAAATGTCCTCGGGTGAGGATAAAAAATAAAAAAATTAAAAAAAATAAGATGAACGCAGAGATTTAAGAAAGCGAATTTTAAGGGAAAAAGTCCCTCGTATAAAGCATAGGAAAAATTGATCTGAAGAAAGAAATCACTTGAAGAATGGTATACAATCGTCCCACGTTTATCGCGGTTAACCGTTCCAGAATCTAGCGGTTGCACCTGGCGTTGAAGGATTTCTGGGGTGCTCGAATACACAGGCCTACAGTCCACACGTACAGTAATTTTAATTGTAATTGTAATACAGGGGTGTATAATTGACTCAGACAACCGAGCGCGCGCTGTATCATTTTCACTGTCTCGACTGACTTTTTAATGATTAGAAAAAAACCGCGATAGAGTGAAGCTGCAAAAGTCGAAGCGTGAAGTGGCGGGGGACGACTGTAGGCGAATTTGTGGCACGTTTATAATTAGCTGGTTATTCAGAGAAGCTAAATTGTACTAAGCATAGCAAAATATTTGAAACTGGCGTTGCAGGGAGAAAAACTCACTCTCAGCTTCAATTTTGGGTGGTGTGATCAAGGTAGAACACTGCACGAAATCTGGTAGAGTCAGTTTCTACAAGTACATCTGATTTCCCAATCATGACCCCAAGTAAGAGCTTTGTGATGTAGATAGGGCCACAAAAGAATGCTTTCTACCCGAGGCTAATGAAACATGTGAATCCTTAGAGGTCATTGTTGTCCAGTTCTAGTTCATATGCTTTTAATTTCCTTTATTTTCAAATTTAAACATACAGTGACAAATAGAAACATCTTCCATGATCGAGAGCAAGCTATGGAATACTTTTCTAATGAGGCTAATACTCGAGTTGCAAGTTTTATAAGCATGCTTTCTTAAAACTTCAATTTAAAAATACTGTTCTTGTTTGTGCTTTTCTACATTTTGAGTATAAATAATGTCACATTTGAATGCTGCTTTAGCTATCAAAATGGTCATTTATATACATAAACGTGTGTATATATTTATATATTCATCTTTAACTCCAAAGAGGTGGAGCATGGAGAGGTCCAGGGGGTTGCCCAATTCCACCAGAAAAAGCATAAAACCATCAAGAGATGCCCCATTATTTGACTTCTGTTTGAGGCCTTTTTCTAATTCTTCCTGTAATTTCACTGTTATACTTTGTTTTCTTTATATTTCACAAAATTAAAGCCTACGCTAAATCAGAAACCCTGGAAATACTTCTAACAGTCCACAAATTAGAGAAGTTTAAATGCTAAGGACATGGGAAATATATTTTAATTGCTTACACAAAATAACAATTATCTTTACCCAGAAGACTAGAGAGCAATCAACTCAATCCTATTGTTGGTTGTAACAGCACTATTACCCTGAAATGCTTTTTTTTTTTTGGCATTTACATATACATAAAATTTACAATTTTAACCATTTTTAAGTGCACAGTTCTGTGACACTGAGTAATTCACACTGTTGTGAATCCATCACCAATACATCTCCAGAATTTTCCCATCTTTCCCAATAATTGTACCTATTAAACATGAATGTCCCAATCACCCCTTCCTCCAGCCCTGGGAACCACCATTCCATTTTCTGGATCTGTGAATATGACTACTCTAGGTACGTTATACAAGTGGAATCACACAGTATTTGTCCTTTTGTGTCTGGCTTACTTGATCATCAAGGGCCGTCCATGTTGCAGGATGTCAGAATTTTCTTCCTTTTTAAAGCTGAATATTCTGTTGTATGTATATACATTTTGTTTAGCCATTCATCCATCAATGGACATTTAGGTAGCTTCTATTTTTTGACTGTTGTGAATAATGCTGCTGTGAACACGGGTTATAATTATGTTTGAGATCCTTCATTTGACTATATAACCAGAAGTGGAATTGCTGGATCATATGGTATTTCCATGTTTTATTCCATTTATTCTCATCCTCGCACATCTAAACCAAAGAATGTGAAGAATACACCAACCAACACACTTTGTGTATTAATCAAAGCAGTGGAAAACCCCCATCAGATTTCTCTTGCATCACTTGTCACTTCACCTGTTGGAAAACCTTACGTCTATGAATTGCCTCCAAGATGCCAAGGGCCTCTAGGCTCAGGCAAGCCTCCCGGAGCCTTAGTGGCTCACTAGTTGAGCATCGACCCATGCACCAAGACGTTGTCAGTTTGACTCCCAGTTGGGGCACATGCCTAGGTTGTGGGCCCAGTCTCCAGTGGGGGGCATGCAGGAGGCGGCCAATCGGTGTTCTCTCTCATTGATGTTTCATCTCTCTCTCCCTCTCCCTTCTTCTCTCTCTAAAATCAAAAAAGAAAACATTTTTTAAAAAACAAAAAAACCCTGAATTTTTATGGAACTAGTAACGGGAAAACAGGAAGACTGGGGAAGGTGGTGAAATCCTCACCACGGCCAATGATTGCACAACACCTCACTCCCTGAAGCACTTTTTCCACCTGCTATACTACTAAAAATTAGGAGTGTTTCAAATTACTTGAGAAGTCACCAATCCCAGAACTTTCCTTTCTTAGAAGTTCTTCCAGGGTTTCTGTCAAAAATTCCTTTTCTGTTTAAGGGAGCAGAGCTGGTGGCATAACACACCACTGGGCAGAGCCATTCTCCCTATACTGTTTTTTTTAAATCCTGACCCAAGGATATTTTTCCATTATCTTCAGATAGAGTGGGAGAGAGAGAGGGAGGGAGGGAGAGAGAAACACTGATGTGAGAGAGACACGTTGGTTGCCTTCCACATGACCCCGACCAGTGCCAGGGACCAAACCCTTGACCAGAATCAAACCCATGACTCTTTGGTCTTTGGGCCGACCTTTTTTTAAAAAAATTAATTAATTAATTTATTATTTATTTATTTATTTGGTACGTGCCCCTATCAGGAACTGAACCCGGGACTCTCTGGTCCTCAGGCCAATGCTCCAACCGCTGAGCCAAATCAGCCAGGCCTTGGGCCGACCAATTAACTATCCCTATAATTAATCAAAAACATCGTCTAGCCTGCAGTTAAGAGAAATTCTAAATATGTGAAGATATGTGAAGGTACTGGATGTGGTCAATGCTACGTGAGAAATAACAATTCAAGGCCAAGCAGGTGTGGCTCAAGGGGTTACTTCTTGGGGTGGAGATGGGGAAAGGTTATAGAAAATTGTGTGAACCAGCAAAAAATCAGTGCCCAATGGGTCACTGCTTTGGGTCCCTCAACAGTCAGCCATCCACAGTGGTCAGATTCCCAGATACAGACCTGAGCCCGGGAAAAGGTAAGAAGAGGTCCTTGTTTAGGCATATGAGGTCCTTGTTGAGCCTAAGCTACAAGAAATGACCTCAGCCTTGCAGCCAACTGTGATCTAACATGTGATGAGGCAGTGCACTTTGATTCTCGCCTGCTGCTGTCCCGGGGGTACAGCTGCCTTAGGAGTTGTGAGGGAGGAGAGATGGGGGAAACCCTGGCTTCTCTAATGACTCCACCCAACAATACGCTAGGGTAGGATGCAGGTTGAAGATGTGCGCTCTGTAAAATTTCCTCTTTTATGCACATCTTCTGTTGGCTTGGTATTTATAGCTTCGTGTCCGTAAAATTGATGTGTTCTAGATGTCACTGCAGGGTGGTCCTTAACTTGTTGATAAAAATAATTTACATTTTATTTTCATATAAAGGTGACACCAACAGCAATAACATAGGCATTCAACAAATATTTTTTGAGTTATACTAGGTTTTAAATATTTATATTCTTGAAATAAACATGCCATGTCCCTAGCCATTCCTCAAACACAAATATGCAATTTTACTCATGCAATTATATCAGTGATTTTCAACAGGTGTGCTGCAAGAATTTTTAAAACATGTAATACCTGACTATTTAGTCAGGGACACTGACCTCTTTTTCCTTAAGTTGTAAAATAAAAAAATGACAGCAACCAACACAACAATAGCAATCCAGTGTGAATGAATCAAAATTATATCTATGTTTTTGCCAGACTGGCAAAAAATACAGTATTTTCTGTGCTGAAAAATACCATGAGATAAAAAGGATTGAAAATTGCTGAATTATATCAATACTGTTAAACATGTAGGGCTTTTTCCCTCCCTGTTTAAGACGAATTTCACTTTGGGCATCGAATATTGACAAGCGCCAAGCTACTCTAATCAGGTTACCATTTACAGATAAAAACAGCACATCTCTGAACACCATTCAAAAATACTAATTCACACTTAGTTCTTATCGAATATCAGTCACCTAGAAGTTTCAAAGATCTTAAAAAAATGTCCCAAATCCCAGTCTCTTAAAAGTTCCAGTGATTTTACTCTGTGTCCACTCAGCACACGTGTTCACGCTGCTGTGCAAACAACGACCCAACTCCCTTTATCCCCACATTAAAAAATAAGGAAAAGACAGACGAAATAACATTCCCTCCATGCCGGGGAAGGTAGCATACAGGAGCCGTGGAAGAGGGTTTTCGGGTCCCCGCACCTGTTTCCCACGCGTCTGTCCCCTTGTGTCTTCTTCCTGGGCAGGAGGGCTCCTGAGGGCAGGCAAGATGGCTGCCATCCTTCAGTTATCACAGTACTGTACCTTTAGAATGGACAGCATCAGCACTGTGATAACTGAGCCAGGGCAGCCTGTCAGTCTCTGCTGGCTGGTGGCGTCCTTGCTGGGTGGACCGCATGACTCCCTCTGAAGGCTCCCCGTGAAGTGAAAGACCAAAAGATCCCCTTCTGGTTCGAGATGTGGGGAATCAGAAGGAAAAGTGGGGTCAGAGCCCAGCGAATGGTGAGGCTGAAATATGAAGAGGCCCAGGTGAATTATAACAGAATGAAAGACAAACACATGCTTTATACATATTAATGAGGATGAGCAACCACATGATTATGCAGTAAGCTTTCCAGATGTGTGTCACCGCATATTTCTTCCATGCATAGAGTCACGGACTCTATCCCTGATTTCAATCATTCATGAAATAAACATTTATTGAGGAACTACAATGTTGCAAGATCTCTTCTAGATGCTCAAGAAATTGAGAAGACATGGTCCCTGTTCTCCAAGTGCTCCTGATCAAACACAGCAATTCTCCTTCACTTCTGCCTGACATTCAGTAACTTTCTGTGTGTGTCCTTATTTGATTTTCCACAAGCACCCTATTGGGTTGTTAATGAATTATTCATTAATTCATCGAAAAAGGATTCTGGGAATAGATTAGACATTATTAGCCCGTTTTACAGAGAGAAAATAAAAAACCTAAGGTGATTTACCTGTGATCATACTCTAAGTGATGGGCTCAAATCCATGTTTAATGACTGAGCCCCGTGCTTTTTTTCTCTATCTCAATCTGGCCATTCAACTCCATCAACCGGATATTCAGATTACACAATTTATACACAAAAGAAGGGTTCCTGAAAACATCTACTCTTTGCTTAAGATTTTGAGTTTTCTCAGTATTTCAGGTCATAAAGCAGAAATTAGTGGGGGTTTTATGCTTTAAGAAGAAATGTACATTAGTAAAAAACAAAATGACTTTCACTGTTCTCCTTCTGAGCACTAAGAATGTACTCAGGCCCTGGCCGGTTTGGCTCAGTGGTTAGAGCGTCGGCCTGCGGTCCTGAGAGACCCGGGTTCGGTTCCCGCTAAGGACACGTACCTCGGTTGCAGTTTGTCCCCGGCCCTGGTTGGGTCGTGTGGGTGGCAACCACTCGACATGTCCCTTTCACGTCGATGTTTCTCTCTCTCTCTCTCCCTCCCACACTCTATCTGAACAAAAAAATAGAAAAAGTGTCCTCGGGTGAGGATAAAAAAAAAAAAAAAAAAAGAACATACTCAGATTGATGACCCTGACGATTACGTATTTAGCCCACTGGCAGGGTGTTTTTCACAATAGTTAACGTCAATCCTGTCGTCATGGTGGTGCAAGAATCGCTGATAAACTTTGGAACATTTTTTTTTTAAATCCTCACCTGAGGATATTTTTCCATTGTGTTTTTTGTTGTTGTTGTTTTGGGAGAGACTGGAAGGGAGGAAGGGAGAGAGGGTAGGGAGAGAGGGAGAGAGAGACGGAATAAAAATTTTGATGTGAGAGAGACACATCAATTGGCTGCCTCTTGCACAACCCTGACCAGAGCTAGGGATCGAACCCACAATCCCGCTGCATGCCCTTGACCAGGAATCAAACCTGTGACCCTTCAGTCCTCAGGCTGACACCCTAACCACTGAGCCAAACTGGCCAGGGCTGGAATGCCTTTTTAAAAAATCAACATATAGCCCTGGCCGGTTTGGCTCACTGGTTACAGTGTCTGCCCTCGGACTGAAGGGTCACGGGTTCGATTCCTGATCAAGGGAACGTACCTGGGTTGCAGGTTTGGTCCCCATCGCCGGTCAGGGTGTTGTAGAAGGCAACCAATCAATGTGTCTCTCTCACATCAATATTCTTCTCTCTCTTTCCCTCCCTTCCACTCTATATAAAATCAATGGAAAAATATCCTTGAGTGAAGATTAACAACAACAAAAAATCAACATATACATCTCATATGATTTGAAATTATCTCTACCTTTAAGTTGTATCCTAAAGTCATTTCAGGGATTAGTCTTAACTTTTAATAAAAAAAAGTACAAAAGGATTCTGAAATTGGAATTCAGGCTTTAGAACACCAACTTATTAAGATCATGATTCACTGAGCTTTTATCCATGTCGGATCTAAGTTCTCAAGTTATTTCAATATAAGTGAAGCTTGACAGATATTTGAAAAATAATTATGTTTCCAATTAGGCTCTTCCTCGGTTTCAAAGACTCATTATATGCAAATTAGATATTAGCACTGTACTTCAAGTAAGTCAGAAGATGAATCAATTCTTTTGATCAGAAGTAAAAAAAATAGAGTACAAAGATTCTAGCTCAATTATTAACCTTTATGTACTATGAAACTAACCTTATCTTCAGAAAAGTAATATCCAATGAAATAATCCACCTACACACAAATTGAAACAACATTCTCTAAACTGCAAAAATATCAAAAAGTTAAAGAAGTCCTTGCTTAGTCTTAGCCAACTGATGTAATACAAAGTTGAAACACGAGAGGGCAACGAAGATTTTTTTAAAGAAAAAGTTGGATCTTATAACCTAAGATTCCTGGAAACAGCTGCACATTTTCACCCAAATTATAAACATCTGTTAAATGAACAAAGATGTTGTGATTATTTGGGAATACAATGTAAGATAGCTGATCCATCAAAAAGGATAAAAAAGATTACCACCTAACATCTCCTGGCCACAAGTTCTGTCCACTCTGGAAAAGATGAATGCTCACTATGACACTTGAGGAAGGATAAGTATGGAAACAAATAAATAACCTTGATGTACTTATTAGTTATTAGACTGTTCTTCAGTATGATTGAATACTAGTGCAATTGAAAGTCTAAATACGAAGTATACAAAGATGAACTTACTGTTTGCAATGTACTACAAAGTTGAAATTCACACTATTAGCCGAGACCAAAAGCCAGACAACTAAACATTTTTGGTATAAGTAAAGAATATTTCCTTATTTTTCTCTCACTTCAATTTTTTTCCTATCTAAATTGGGGGTTAAAATACCAAGAGACCAAGTAATAAAAAGCAAGTTGTTATTCTGTGAATAGTTACTGAAATTAATATTCTCTCAGAATAATTCTAAAGCAGTTTCAAGAAAAATGTAGATTTTCAGAATCATATTTTATAAATATTAACAACTGCTTCAAAAATGTAAGTTTGTTTCTCCTTGGAAATTATTATTTATAAATGGCATTTTTAAAAAACCAAATCTATCAGAACATTTCTTTTTCTATTTATTTTTCTTACAAAAATGGAATTGTTTTGATTTTAAAACAAGTGAATGCAGGTGTTCATGGTATAGTATGAAAACTACACTGCACATTAAGAGAAGGAAAAGGAAACAGTGATATAAAATGTTTTCATCCAGAGAGTAAATTGATTAAATTCAGTTCTTCTATGCCCTCTTATCTATGACCAGAAAATGAAAATAAAATGATTTTGACTCTTTAAGTATCTGATTCTATATTAAATAATTGGAGGTATTAATAAGCTGCCAGCAATACAACATATTTGAAAATACTTTTAAACTAAAATAGTTTAAATAGGTTAATTTAAATCTATCAGTCTTTTACTGAAGTATGATTTTTCCCCCAATATGAAAACCATAATCCAACTCAGTGACATTATAATATGTGCAAATTTGACCAAACTGTGATATTATAAGAGTGTACTGTCAACAAAAGATGCTCAAATGTGCTTTGTCAGAAGTATACAGAATGTACATTAGCATTTTATTGCAAAGCTTTGCTATATTAAGAGTGTCTAAAAACTAACTTGTGCCAAAGTTTAACAGGACACTTTTTCAAGAAATGAGAAATTGGCTGAAAAGGCAAGAAAAAGCTAAGAACCACTGCCCTGCGAAAAGTCTACCCCAATTCTCACACAGAAGCATTCACTAGGGTGTCACTTTCACCTACTTTAAGCACTGACCTCTAAATAGTCTCACGCTGCATAACCTTAGCAGGCCCATCTGGAGGAACCGACCTGTGACAGAAAGCATGCACACAATAACGTGGGGACAGAAAGAAAAATGTGCTCTCATGCTAATGCTGACCGGGATTTTAGTCTCAAAAGGCTCCAGGAGACTAAATTTATAAATAAATGGACTGGCCCATACATTCTGATAGATGGCCTCTACTACCCCTGATAGGTTCACTCTGCATACATACTTTTAGTCTGTCCACTGCACAGTTATTTAATTTTCTGCTTTCGCTCTAGATTCCATTTTTCCCCAGAGTTTAGATTTTATAGCCTGCTCACAAGTCAGTTTTACTCTGATTTCACCTTGGCATTCTACCCTTTTAGAATAACTAGTCAAAATGATCCACCCCTAGCTAACCATCTCTAAAAACCCTGACTGCTTCCGATTAATCCATGATCTCCTCAAAACTGCAGCAGAGCCATTTAAAAATGCTGGGTCTTAAACTCTCAAATTCCCATAACAGACAGCTACAGGGGGCAATACCAAAGACATGCACTGACCTCCAGTTCTAGAGCCGTGGGCTGTTCCAGAAACACAATTATACTCCTCTTTTCTGCAGAGTCCACCATTCTCAGAACTTCCATTTCTACATCTGTAAAATGAACACATTTCTACTTGTAACATATGCCACAGTGGGGATGCACTCATTATTAAGTGCTATATCTTACACTGTAACTTAATGTGGCACTGTTGACCTCTACTTACTCAAATCAAAAGTATCGTTCCTAAAGTCAGGTATGTTTTCATGTCCCTTCCCAACACTAGTAACAGTCCTTTCCACAAAGTGCAAGCTCAACAAACATTTGATTAATTGATGAACCTTTTTATTTCTCAGTGATTCTCTAAATAGGGTTTCGGCAAAATTGTGTTTAATTCTAGCCTCTGTAGGTACGGTCTTAGGCATGGTACTTGACAGTTTGTCAACAATAAAATGAAGGGATAGTACTAAATGGCCCCAAAGTCCCTTCCAGTACCGTTACTGAATTTCATGAGACAAAAACCAAACCTCCAACAGAGCAATATCTCTATTCAAATCAGCACTGTACTTTTTTTGGGGGGGCGGGGGGAAAGGGTCAGCAACCTTCTGACCACAATTACCACCAGTGGAACTGTGATGGGGGTAGAAAGTAAATGAAGGAGGAAGAGAAAATAAACAAAGGTGAGTGATAAGTGGAATCATTAAAATGCCACCAGGTGTTACTGTGTAATTGTTACTGTGCCATACACTGTTCTTAGACATATCCTGGCATGCCTAGGGGCCTTTTATAAAAGCAGCTATAGCCAGATGTGTGGGTACCTACATTTTCCCATGTTGCCCTACTAACCCTTCTAGTACCCTGCATATTTTATTGACCTTCTTGAGTAGGGTGCACATCCTGCATAGAAATCTGCAAAACAGTCACTATTAGGTCTCAAGTACTAAAATAACAACTTTTAGGGTCCCCAAATCTCCACAAGGAAAAAAACGGGAAAGCAAATGACTGACAAACATGAAATAACTTTCTTGTAGTCACCTCTTTTGAAATCAATCCATGGTCCAACAGAAGTAAAATGTAAGCTATGCATGTAATTTAAAATATTCTAGTAGTTAACGTTAAAAAATAAAAACCCAAAAAGAGATGAAATTAACTTTAACAATATATTTAAACTCAGTATATCCAAAATAGTATCATTTGAACATGTAATCAATATAAAAGTTATTCAAAAGATATTTTACTTTATTTTTTTTGTACAAAGTCTTTGAAATCTGGAGCATAGTTTATGCTTACAACACATCCCAATTTGAACACTAAATTTCATCAGAAATACTTACTCTGTATTTGGATTGTATAAAATTTACAGTTTAAAAAGTATACACATGTGCCCAACTTGTTTCCAAATATATTTAAAATTTCTAATACCTGAATGAAATATCAATTTTAAGAATTACATAAAATTTCAAACTCAGTTCCTCATTGCCATGGCCATATTTCAGGGTGCTTGATAGCCACATGTCTAAGTGGCCACCATATTACTGCAGGTACAGCCAACCCTGTCTGTTACCCGGATTATTTTAAACCTGAACCAGATTAAAAGACGTTACCCCATTCAACAGCAAATCCTTCTACAGCACCCACCAAGTGCTCAAATTATGCCAAATATTTTATGCCCCACTACTTATCCTTACTTAAATTTTCAATATTTCAGTGATGATCACTTATTAAGCAGCTCTTCCCAAAGACTGAACAACTGTTTTAGCTCAGACAGAAAGGCGCATCTCAATTCAGAAAGAATGGAGACAATGAAATTCAAAGATATAGTTTGTTTCCAAGGTAAAGGTGGAAAATCCTGACATCTACTTCTCTGTCCAGGACATTAGTCACCTTTCGAAAGTTACAGCCATTGTTTAAAATGAGCCTCTCGACTTCCATACTCATAGCAACTGCCACTACCTCCTTAGATTCTTCGCCTTCCTCAGGTGCTCCCTCCTAGCCAACCCCCTATAACCTCCTTTATCCCTAGCTAACTCTTTAGTCCACATTCCAGGAGCCTCTCTTGACTTCATTCTGAACACTGCTTGGTATTGACATACTGAAACATATGAATAATTCAATAAATGAATCTCGAACCATCCTATTAATCATTCATTGGTCTAGGCACCCAAGTTATCTTGAGGAAAGCTTTTCTGAATATATATGGAAAGAATCCCCCCACCCTTACCCAAAGGAACCAATTACAAACACTACAGCTTTCTCTCCCCATGTCAAAGTTCAGTGTTCCTCCTGCAGCTGATTTAAAAGTTGATCTTCTAAAGGAGCTGGATTCCTAAGGTAGTTCTATTTTGAGCCTTCTTCCTGTTCTGAAGCTAAAGTTGGAAGGGCTTAGGGGGTGATGTCATGGAAGGGAGACTGTTTGCTTTTATAGAAGGGTCTTCTCCAGCAACTCTGGGATACTCAGATGATGGAAACTAGGGGAAATATTCACTTCTCATCTCTTTCCCCTCCCTTCTGAGTTCCAGTTATTCATTAGCCAACAAGAAAACAAGTTAAAATAAGCATGCAAACATCTTTACATATTTTACTCTGTAAGTATCTCAGAAATGAAGAGACTGTGGAGAAGAAAAATGCCTCAAACCAGGGAACAAGGGTGACAGCATCTTTTTCCACACATCATCCCCACCTCTCCAAACATCTAGCATAGGACTAGGGGCAAAGAGGGTGGAGGGACAGTTGGTAAGAAGAATAATGGGATGATAAATCTAGGAAGCTTGAAGAGGGAAATGCTGCGGGCAATCAGGACAGAAAAGGAGACCCTGTGTCTCTTCTCTTCCACTGTTTTCTCCTCCTTTTTGTATTGTTAGATTTGGGGCTGGGTGTGCCTTCTGCTTTGGGAGGCCTGTTTGGCTCTGGAGAAGGAAGAGGGGCCAGGGTGGGGCCTAGGGAAAGAGCGCCAGAGACTGCTTAGGCCTGATTCTGGGCTGAGCTTTTAGGGGAAGAATGAAAGGGACTGGAGGGGGACAGCTGAGGATTCCATTAGAAGACCCAATGCAGAATAAATAACGGCACTGGGCCAAGAGAATTCACCTCTGTCTCTCAATCTAAACGCAGCAGTTAGTTGCTGGTTGGTGGTGTGCAGGTCCAGAAGGAAGAGAAAATCCCAACAGGTCTGTAGACCACAACTTGCCAGGAAGGGGGGAATGGATGTGCCCGGTGCAATCCGCAGGTGGAAGAAGCACTTTCTGGCCAATTCTGGGATGGGGGGTTGGCTAAAAGCTCTGGGGAACAGAGGATTCCCTGGTTTCTTGGCTCACCTCTCCCCCAAAGCTGGAATAAGCACAGGTGTGGTCCTTCTCCAAGAAGGTGGCTTCTGGCGAGCGGGTAGCTGAGTGAAGGAAAGGATTCCTTGGCCCGGGAACGCAGAGAGAAGTCCTGGGGTCAGTTAAGGCCAGGAACAGGCGTGTCCGCCAAGTCCCCTCCCCCTTCTTGAAAACCGACCTGGACCAGCATAAATTACAGCAATACACCCCCCTCCCCAATGTTTCTAATAAAAGAAACAACCTCTCGTGACTACAGGAAAAAAACTGCAAGCTCTGGTTGATGAAAAGAAACAGGTGAACCTGAAGAGAAGCGGGAAAAGACTGGAGATAGGAGAATGAACGTGCAGAGAAATCGAGGCTTCCCCACCCTCCCTACACACCCTCCGCTCCAAGCTGGGAGAATCTGCGTGGCAGGTTGCAAGCTAAAAATGCCACGGTGACAGACTGCCACCTCTCCGCCCCGCGCCCATTCTCTCTCCTACCCCAGGGTCCAGCGTCTCCGCCTCGTGGTAGCGCCCCGTCTCCGGACGCCGTGCGGAGCTCACCCTCACCCGGACGGCCGCGGCCGCGGAGACTCCGTTCTTCCTCTCGCCTCCCTCCTCCTCCTCCGCCTCCGCCTCCTCGCAGACTCCTCCCGCCGGATCCTTCATGTAAACAACATCCAGGCTCTATTTACAGTCGCCGCCGGACCGCAAGGGACCCACGCCAGCACCCTGGAAGAAGGCGGGGGCAGAGGAAAAGCGAGTGCGCAACATTTACACACACACACACACACACACACACACACACACACACGCGCTCACTCCCCGCTCCCCCTCCGAGGGGCCGGAGCCGGGGGCCACCCGCGCCCTCGTCCACACGGCGCGGTGCCTGACAGCGCGGGGAGGGCCAAAGGGAAACCGCGGAAATGCCCGTAGGCGAGGTTCCCCCCACCCCACCCCGCAGGAAGAAAAACACACCCCAACAACAACAAACCCAGTCCAGCAACACGCTGGAAGTCCGAGCTGGAGTGCGGATCCCGCGGGCCGCCCAGCCGCTGGGGCGCCCCGCTGCCTACCCGGAGGTGACGGGCTGCGTGCGGTGCCCCCAGGTGTCTGAAGGCTAGCGGGCGCCGGGCAGGCCCTTGCCGCCGCCCCGCCCGCCCTCGGCCCGCCCCCCGCGCGGGCGCCGAGCCCTCCGAGCCCGCGGTGTGTGCGTGTGTGCGTGTGCGCGCGCGGGCCAGCCTCGCCAAACGCCTCTGTTCGCCCCCGAGGCTCACCGCGCCCCCGGGCGGGCTCCGGCGCCCTCAGCCAGCGCTCCGCCGCGGCGCACGGGCGCGCACACGGACATTCGGCGGCACGGAGCCCCACGGCCACACGCCCCCCGCAGGCGCCCGGCTCCCGCACGCGCTGTCGCCCCCGCGCCGGGCCGCCACCCCCACCCCCACCTGCGCCCCCGGGGGTCCAGGGCCCCCCTTCCTTTGTTCTTTCCGCTATTTGCATGAGGATTATCTAGTGACGCAGTAAGCCTCGCCACAACGTGACCGTCGCCATTTTTCTGTTTTTATTCTATCTCTGCCATGTGATAGATTGGGGGGGGAGGTTGGAAAAGGGAGAGAGATGGGATTTAAAAAAAAAAAACTTCCGGGTCTCATGACCGGGAAGGGAGAAAAACAAAAGGGAGACGAGACAAAACTCCCAGGGAAGGGGTGTGTGTGCGCGCGTGTGTATGTGTATACGTGCCCGCGCGCGCGTGCGCACCCTTCCCTCTTCTGCTCTGTGAAGGGGGGCTTCCGCAGCGCACAGGGAGCATCCTCCAGCCTAAGGAGCCCAGTGACCCTCGGAATGTCCAGATCGCACCCTCTAGCCAGGGCGGTCGCCTGTCTTGGTCCTACACCCGCCACATACACTCGGCGAAGCTGTCAGCTTGTCCTTTCTGGAGGCCTCCACTTGCCGGTCTATCCAGAGCTCGCGCTCTTGCTCCCGGGCGAATGTACCGTTCTGGGTTACGTCCAGAGAATCCCACTATTACCTAAGGAAAGAAAAGATACGGTATTTCCCAAGTTTTAAAATAGTTTGCTTCCATGCTGTTGTTTATGACAACCGCGTGGTAACGCCAGGTAGCATCTAAAATTGGTACGAATCTTTCCACACTTTCTTCCCCTTTTCTCTTCCCAAAGTGGAACACACCCTTGTGTGGTGTTCCATTGGGGGAGGGGAGGGGTTGATATGTGGGAACGGACTATACATCAAGGACTGATTTATTTGGAAGAAATTTCTAACAAATGGTTGTTCAGGGTGGTGGAACATTGTTTAAGGCAGTTGCATGGAACAAGGTGGATTCGTGTTACAATGATCTTATTCACATTCAGAGGGGGTGATAGACGTTTCATTTTTTACCAAGTCTTGTGTTCACGGTTGCTGGGGCACAAAAAAGTATTTGGGAACTCTGCCAGGTTTTTCAGTGAGATATAAAATTTTGTACTTTTGTTTACTACTGTATTTCCTTTGGGCACTTTCACTTTTGTTTCTTTTAAGTTTCCTCTTTGGTTTCTTGTCTCTATTTCATAATTTGGAGCGGAAATGGACTTTTAGAGTTCACCAGGGATCCTCACTTCATAGGGGAGGAAACCGAAGTCCTGAGTAGTGATGGGAGTTGCTCAGGGTCACACATTAAATTAGAGTGGAGTTGGATGGAGCCCCGCTTACCCCCTATCTCTGTTAGAGGGGTGGAGATGGAGGGTGGGGGGTGGACATGGATGGTAGGGAATGGGCATGGAGGGGGAGAAATTGCTTAGTAATGTATGGCAGCAATCCTACTTTGTAAAATTAATATCTTAGAAATTAAAGATGAACACTTACCAGATCATTCCCTTCTTAGGGCTGGTATGAATCAATTGCTTCTTCCAGACCCCCTTTTTAAGATTTGACTCAAATATATCTGTTCATTCAGATTCCACTTCACCTTTCCTGGGAAAATTTGTCATCTCACCCCACAGCCCAACAGGATTGTTATGAGTTGTCTTTTTTAGAATCACAGAGTTGACCTCTCCCTCTTTTGTGCATCCACTGTGTCCTTTGAATGTTATTTCTTGGTGTGCAGAACAGTTGATGTATCTCCCTGAACTTGGGGGTAAGCTTTGAGGGCCAGGGCTATGCCATGTTCATTTTATATCTCCCATGTTTAACACACGAAGGCCTGATGAGGGGTTTTTTCCCCCCATAATTCCAACCTGACTGTCAGTAAGAAATTCCTTCCGTGTTTCTGGTGAAGGCAGAACACTAGAGACACTTGCTGGTTCTTACACCTTTGCAGACCATTTTTGACAGGCTTCTGCTTTCTTAATTTAATTAAACCAAGTGCTTTCTCTCCCCCATTTTAATTTTTTTTGGACCATGTTTGGTTCCTCTTCTTCAAATTCCCTTTAATTCCTATAATTAGTTATGCCAACACTTGCCCTTTGACTTTTGCTTTCATAGACTCCAAAAGGTTGGTGAAGTTAAGCTGTGATTTAACCCTGCTCATCCTGGAATCAAATGATCAGAGGAAGCATTTTTTAAAAATTGATTTGAGAGAGAGAGGGAGGGAGAGGGAGAAATGGATTTGTTGTTCTACTCATTTATGCATTCATTGGTTGATTCTTGTATGTGCCCTGACAGGGGATTGAGCCAAAACCTTGGCATATCAGGGTGATGTTTTAATGGACTGAGCTACCCAGCCAGGGAAAGAGGCAACAATTCTTAATGGTTTCTAATGAAACCTAGTGAACTACATGAGGAGGCTGGCAGTTAGCTGAGCAGGCAGGCTGAAGAGGGCTGCTGAAAAGATGTCAGCATCTGGACAAAAACCACATTTGCAACTTGAAAAGACTGGAGAATAACTGATGTTTGCAATTACATTTACAGCTCAGCAAAGGGTCTGGATCATCACAGATGAGTTCATATACATGCAGACTGATGAGGTTCCATTGCATATCTGAACACGAATTGCACGTATTCCTTTGGGTAGGACAGATGAAGTTGGTATCACTGATCATAACATCATTATTGATCATATATTCATCTTAGCTAAAAGCAGTGTGACAATAATTTTAAGTGTAACAATAACACCTTCAAGCAAGGTAGAGATGAAACCTAATTATATGTAAAGTCATGTGCTCCCTTAAATACAAAGCTGAACAAAGTAAAAAGGAACATTGCTCAAAAATATAGGAAATACCTCCAGAGTTCGTCTTTCAGATATGTGCACTCACACATTACAAAGATCAACTTTGGTTCTCTGGGGTACCACATAGCTACTGATTAAAGAGAGCTGTTACAGGCACTCCAACAATCTTCTGTCTCTCCAATGCACACTTGAAGAATGACAGTTTCTGGTGTGTGAGAGCATGGACTTTGGAATCAGGTCTTAATCTCAGAAGTGCCAACCTGTTGGCTGTATCATCCTGGGCAAGCTATTCATCAGTTTTGATTCTAAGTTTCTTTACTCATAAAATGAGCTTGATAACACCTGGTTTAAAGGGAAGTATTTCTGGTTGAAATTTAATAAAATACATGTAAAGACCTAGCATGATACTTGTGACATGATCTCTAATGGTGGCTTTAATAATTTTTTAATTGTATTTTTATTTGCCCCATGCACTTCCTATAATTAGTCTATCCCTTATGGCTTTCTGCTCTTGAACATTCAACAAACCTACTGTTAATGAAAGTTCTGTGACTATGAAGATATATTAAAAAAAAAGTTCACACTTCAGCCTCAGAAACACCACATGTACAAGTAACTATACTGATGTTGGTGGACTGAAGGCAAGCACTTGGCTCATACCACTTCATGATGACCTATTTGAGAAGTGTTTAATTAAAATCCAGATTTACTAATACCCAGGCAATGACAAAACTTATGGAGTAGTTGGGAAAATGTCCAAGAAAAACCTCAAAACAAACAAAAACTCACATTTTCACATAAATGAGGAAAATTGCTTCTAAAACTCCATCTAATCAGTGTAGTTCTGCAGTTTTAAAGAACAGTTTTCTGGTCTAGTATAAGAGTCAGGCTTCTTTTGCATGTGTGTGAAAATATGCAGGTTGTACTTTGAAGTAATGTTGGAAGCTGTAGTTAATAGGAAGCACTTCTGGTTGTTAATTAATTAGACCACTTTAATCAAGAACCGTTTTCTGAGAAACTTATTCCCAACCCTGGGTCAGGTGCTAAAGAAACAAAGATAATGGAGACATAGACTTTGCCCATAAGGAACTTATTAAACAAGTGTTTATTGATTACCTACTGGGGATGCATTGGTGAACAAGACATTCAGCTTACTTGCAGGAGATTGATATATACAGGGTTTGTCCCCCAAAAAATGTATAGAGGGTATCTATAGATTCTATTACATTTTGAAGATGAAATGTATTTTAATAAACACTGGCTTTATAATTATTCAAAGTTGTGTATACGTTTTATGGGGACATCCTATATACATTTATCTTTCCAGCTTCCTCAAGACATGTGCAACTGCTCTGGCTGGTGTTGCTCAGTGGTTAGAGTGTCGGTCCAAGCACTGAAGGGTCATAGGTTTGATTCCCAGTCAAAGGTACCTGGCTTGTAGTTTTGAACCCCACCCCAATTCAGGGTGCATGTGGGAGGCAACTGATCAATGTGTGTCTCTCTCACATTGATGTTTCTCTGTCTCTCATTTACCTCCTCCTCCCTCCTTTCCTTCCTCCCTTTCACTCTAAAAATCAATGGAAAACATGTCCTCAGGTGAGAATGAAAAAAAAACAACAAGTGTGCAGCTGAAACAGAGTTTGGGCAAGACAAAATATCTATATCCCCTGACTCCTCAAAACAAAGAGCAGTTCTCAAAATAATAGTTTGTTGTCTATAGCCCAAGTGAACTAGGGAATCAATCTAGTGTTAGGCAAAAGTGTAAAGTGAGCAGTTATAGTCAATTCTACTCGAATCTGGGCCATATATATATATATATATATATATATATATATATATATATTTGTTTGTTTTTTTAAGAGAGAAAGGGAAGGAGAGAGAGATCAAAACATTGATGTGAGAGAGAAACATGGATCAGTTGCCTCCTACATGTGCCCTACTGGAGATCGAGCCCACAGCCCGGGCATGTGCCCTGACCCGGAATCAAACCTGGACACTGGCCGGCGAATGTGGGCTATTTAACTAGCTTTCTGTTTTCTCAGTTCATCTTTTTGAACTCCTTTGTCCTCCAAAAGAATACTACAATGATGATTCTAAAATGCAAACCTGATTATATTATAAAAACTGTCATGGCTCCTGATTACGTGCCAAGCATGGCACACCGGATCGTTTGTGATCTTGCTCTGCCAAGCCTTCCGGCCTCACCCTCCATAACTCACATGTAGGATTTGCCAGATTTGTAATTAAAAATACTGGATGCCCAGTTAAATTTGAATTTTAGGAAACAATGTGGGTTTTTGGGGTCAAAACATGTCTAAAATATTGCAAATGACATACTAAAATGTATCTATTGTTTATCTGATATTCAAATGTAAGTAAGCATACTGTATTTTATCTGGCAACCTTACTTATGCCAGTCTGACTGATCAACTTGCTGTTTATCACTAGTCTCTTCATGCCTTCATAAGAGCTTGTCAACTTCTCCACCCTCTTCCT